GAGACTGTTACATGGTCTAACTCCTGCATGTTGTCCCTGTTGTCCAGATGGATGTGTTTGATGCTGCAGAGAGATACATTCAGTCCGGTGTGCCTCTGGTCATTCTGGCAGGGAAGGAGTACGGCTCCGGGAGCTCCAGAGACTGGGCCGCTAAGGGCCCCTTCCTGCAGGTGACGAGGATCACTTCTTTGTAACCATTTGAAGAAAATAATGAATGTGTTCTTTTAAGAGAAAGCAGTGAAAGAAGTGTTTAAAGGGTTGATTATGAACCATTTATTTTTGTTGTAGGGTATTAAGGCGGTGGTGGCGGAGAGCTATGAGCGGATCCACCGCAGTAACCTGGTGGGGATGGGGGTGATTCCTCTGGAGTATCTGGCAGGAGACAGCGCTGAGAGCCTGGGTCTGAGCGGCAGGGAGCGCTACACCATCCTCATCCCCGAGCCGCTCACTCCCAGGATGCTCGTGGACGTGAAGGTAAACACACTCTCTCTAGGACTGGAACATAACTGCAATGTTGAGGTAATACTGAATGTGGCCTGTCTCTGTCTCTCAGCTGGACACAGGGAAGACGTTCCAGGTGAGGATGAGGTTCGACACGGACGTGGAGCTGACCTACTTCCAACACGGAGGCATCCTCAACTACATGATCCGCAAGATGTCTGAAAACTAACATGCCAAGTACAGTACAGCGCACAGCGAGAGCAACACGTGTTATTTTTCTAATTCCTAACTACCGTCCAACACTGCATCACTGTTGTGAGTTCATCCAATGGTTTACAGAAGAATTATGTCCAAAAAGAATCCAGTCATTGGCCATGTTGGTGCAGAGAACTAATGTACAGCCAGAAATCATTATCACATTGTTCTCATTTTTGAGGAAATGTATATTTTAGATGTGTATATTAACTAAAGATATGCTATAGAAGATGATTTAAAGAGTTATCTGAGAGGGTGTATGGTTGTGTCAAAAGATTATTCCAACATTAGTCTTGTTTGTGTACGTTTGGTCTTCATTTATGATAGCATGAAGTTGCTACTCACTAGAGCGAGGTAAAACTAATGTACCTTTTTTATGGTCCTACATGCTTTGGTACGACAGCAGCATGTAGCGAGCTGTAAAGTCAGTACTCCAAATTGACAGTTCAAAGGTTATCCGTCAGCCAGGAGAGATTGATTATATCCCCATAGTACTGTGTTTACGTTTTTTGGTCTAGCTTCTTTTCATTAGCCAATATTTTATTATGTATACAAAGTTGAATTAACTGTGATAATGCCTGGGGGGTGCAGTGAGCAGTGGAGATGTATTTGTGTGTTACTGCAAAGAAAACCCAAACAGCCAATCACAGTGGCCTCAGCGTGTAGTAGCACAGCTTCCATCACATGTAGCCAGTGAGGTAGTGCTTCACCTTCACGCAGCAGCTTAAATCCTTCAAGGGAAACAGTGCCAGCACTTTATCAAACTGGTAGGTCTGGTTGGTGTGCCGCTGTTAGCTCTCAGGGGTGAAAACGTGACATTTGACATGTTCCAGCTGAGGTTCTACACGGTTCAGCAGGTGGCAGTATCATGTAAACAGCTTTCAAACTGTTCCTGAGAGTTGTGCTGAATGTAAACAGAAACCTTAAACCCCATAACTCTTCTTCAGCTGTTCCCTCTCCACCCACAGCCAGGCCCAGCTCTGAACAGATAACAGTCACTAGAGACCCATGTTTTAGTAATCCAGAATTCTCTTTTAAAAACCAGGACCATTATGAGATTCAATCATATATTTTCTTGACTGTAATGAAGAAGATGTTGTGATGCGTTCTAAGCTGCAGGAAAAGCCACTGCATGGAGGAAGTGGTGATGTTGTTTGTATGTTGATGATAATATCACATTATTGACTGATTATTTCACGTATAAAATCCTAAAGGAAGAAATTACGTGTGACTTGAATGAGTTAAATATCGTCATGGTTACTCCTCCAGGTAAACACGCTGAAGTCTGAAGCTAACCATTATTCCTCTTTATTGATTAATGTGCAGATTATTTCCCTTAATTCAATGTTATAAAATGTCAAGAAATTGTGAAAAATGAAAACCTAAAGAAATCTAAATAATGTTCTAAAAAACAACAGATGACAGTACAGGACCTGAGAGACTGGGAACAGCAATTGCTGCCATTCTTGCATGAAAACTGTTTTAAATAGATGATTAAAAACCGTTTGAAATGGTCACCTGATCCTGCAGCTGTACTATATTACAGTAACAACCTCACATTGCACTTTGTTTTTTGCTTCATTCTACCCTCTTAATGTTTTCGGATTATTCACAAATATGTTCACGGTTTCTCTTTCTGTCTGTCTCAGATAACTGTACAGATATCATGCCTGTTTGTTCTTCAGACATTCCAAACGTCATTGTGAATCTGCCTTAATAATGTAATGTGATCGCCTTGATTTCATATGTTTGTGTATGTTTTAGAAGACTGTCAAAACCATGCTCCATGTTAAGCTGATTGCATTAAGCCACAGATTACTGAAAAACTGAATAAAATTCGATTTTTCATTTGTGGTTATTTTCAAGTCATTAATAAGCTTGTATTTGAATTGTGTTTATTTGTAGAAGGGACCGATATAATGTGTGGAGCCAGTCTGTGAAGCTGGTCCCCTGCAGTCCCTCGCCCCTGCTCTGAACTCCAAACACTATTACAAGACTATAAGGGTTTTAGTTTTCTTCGTTTTCTGTCTTTAATACACTGGAGAATATGAGCCTTAAATAGTCCCCAAAGCTTGCTCTGAAATGTCATCAACATTCTGCAGCCTGTTGGTACTCTGCTGTCACTTCGGGTTATAGAGTTTATCTACAGCACAAATGTTCAGTGACACAAGTTAAAGAAACAAAGCTTTGTGGAAAAGTTACCTTCATACTTTTAAAGTGGAACACTTTATGTCTGGTTCAGCTGCTCATTTTACTAGCCATAATAATAATAACACATTTAATTGATATAGTGCTTTTCTAGATACTCAAAGTCGCTTTGCGAACAACAAACAAACAAAGATGTGCTGAGCGTGTTGACACCTACTGATTATAAGTGAGGGATTTGAAGATCCCTTCAATCCTGTTTTTGCTGCTTACATGTCCCATGAAGTTAAAAGAAATGTAATCTGAATGCTATTATGTTTCCAACACATCACAATGAAATATTTCAATTCATCGCAGCATGGCTTTCATTCATTGTTAGAGCCATGACTCTCATACTAGTCCATTCACTTCAGTTATGTGTTCTGTTAATGGTCCTAATTACAATACACTGTTTTAACTATAAATATTAATATTGTGAGAGTTTAACATGATACAATATCCGTATTCTTAACTACCTTCAACATATCTATGGCAAATCCTTTCAGCTTAATCTTGGTTCCTATTGTCAACGTATATGCAAATATAAGCAAATACAGGCAAATCAAATGGGGCTGACTGTGGAAACACTACTCCCTGTTAGCATCCCTCAAAAAGCCCCCAAATGATGTCATCAGCAGTAAAAAGCTAATGTTAAGGCTATAAACAAACTGCACCAGTCACATGACTTCACTGCACCACCATCAGCTGAGGAGGCTGGAGGACCTTTAATGTCCACACTTTTGGTGACCACCTTTAAAAAGCACATAAAAGCACTAACATTCACCAGTGGGGGATTTACTGAGCAATTTGATATCGCAGAACAAATTGGGGAAATCTCTTGAGCTTGTGTTCACCACAGATCTATTTCAGGCATCTAACCAAAACCCATTGCTTAAAGATGAGGAAACAGGAAGTGCAAAAACGCTGACTCATGTTAGAACTTAATCCTCCAGCAGAAAGAAAGATGTTATCTGACACTTTCATCATGCTCCTCCGGCACTTCTCTTTCATTTTTAATCACTTGCCACTCAGACTGAATTACATGTACTCTTGTTGGATTACTAGAAGACACTGTGAGAGGACGGCCATTGATCAGGGTCTCCTCTCTGGTTCCTGTTCCAGCCGTTTGTCTCAAACAGACGGGGGGATGGAAAAAAGCTGGTGGGGGAGGAGTGGACTTTGACATAAAAGCAGCTGCACGTGTTTCCCACACGCATGACCTCAGCATGTTGCTGTATGTGTGCTGGGCCAGCACACACACAGCATGAGCACATGCTCCAGGAGAAATGAACATAGCTGAGGTTGTGTTGCACTCATTGAAACACATTTGAATGATTCAAACCTTTGTAAACCTTTCAGTTCACTTAACCCTTTAAGTGCTGAGAGCCGAGCGCTTAGAAGATAAAACAAAATATCCTGTGTAGTCTATTTTTAGTCAGGATGCGGTTAGCCTAGCTTAGCATAAAGCCTAGAAATGGGAATCGTGTTTTCTTTTGTCAATCCCAAAAATAGTCAGATTAGTACTCAGATTATTTACTTAAGTAAAAGTACAAATATTAAAGTGTGAAAATACTCATTTACAAGTAAAAGTGCTTCAAAGTTCTACTTAAGTAAAAGTATTAGCATCAAAATATACTTTAAGCAAAGTAAAAGTACTCTTCCTTGCACAATGGGACATTAAAGAGCCAGATTTCTTTTTTTTATTTGATAAATGATTGTATTTAAATTATTGGTTCATTATGTGTTCATCATCTTAAATGTTGTACTTGGTAGGAGGGTTTTATTTGACCTGACTTAAAAATATTTGAAATTCACTGTGACTCATTACTCATACATTTTTTTCTTTTGATTGATTACTTAAAAAAAATATTTAATAACACAATACATTAAATATATAAATACTTCCATTTACAAATCAACATTTTGATAGAAATGACCTATATGAAAGGTCAAAGGATCGTGTAGATCATTGAACTCTTCAGGATTCATCGTTCACTCTGGATCAAATGGTGATGCTGCTAGTACGGCTAGAAAACACAAATAAATCAAATGTGAGCTTGAATCTAGAGCCATATGAAGTGTCATATAAACAGTGAATGAATACATTGGCACAATGATTGCAACTTTTTCGCATAATTTATTCAATAAAATCATCCAAATTAGAGCTATTTGATACATCAATTTCCATACTGGAGGAGGGTTTGTCAGCATTAGCAGATTCTATAAATATCCTCCCTCCCTACTTGACCATTGAAATGTGTAGATATTGTGTTAGTGGTTCCTCAGTCCGCCCTGAGTACATCACTGGGTGAGAGACAGCAGTACAACAGATTCAGGTCTGATGACGGACGATGGTTCTTCAACACATGCTCTACTGAGGTAAAAACATTGGATGCATCATAATCTGATGATTCTCTGACTACTCTTTGAAAGAGTCTAAACCTGAAATGTAATGAATAATACAGTGGTCCACCCTTAAAGGAACATCTTGCTAAATTTAAAGTGCACTATAACAGCGTGATTATCACATGTACTCATTCCAGTGCCGTACATAATATACATAATCATCTCTAAACATTGTTCACGGGAACACAGCGGTATATATGAGAACAACTTATACAGTGTTAATCATATTTCTGAAATTAGACAGTGATCAACATGAGTTATCAACATGAGTTATCAACATGTAAACGTAACATGCAAGTCTACTTTAGATGGAATTCCCTCCCTAATCACAGAGGACAGAACAGCATGAAAACACAGAGACAACACATCTTCATCTCACTAATGCTCATGTAACATTTTCAGTGCAAAATCAACTCTGAACAAAGAAATGACCTTTTGGTAATTCTGCATTCAAATCCAATTTCCTCTTCCTTCATCGTCAGGCTCAGGTAAACACAGAACTTTTTCATGGACCCTCAACCATGTATTTTGTTAAAGACAAAACACATTTACGGAATGCAATCGAACATGCCACTAAGTGACCCAGCAGAAATGAAAACGCCAAAAACGATGAGCCAGAAAACACACTTCAGTCTGTCAGACCAAATCCAACGGCCATCATTGACGAAGGTTCGGACATTTTTCTTTTTGTCTGAGACATTAGAAACTGCACAGGCCTTAAGGCTGTACTTTTGATCTGTTACTGACCAATAATTCACCTTCTCCCCGAACCCTGTGCCTCTACTTGAAACACATGGACATAGACAATTGGCACAGTCAAAGATATTTGCAAAAGAGATTTTAAACAACCAAACCCAGCAGGACTCTATAAAGACAGAAGCAGTCTACAGGGTGTTCAGCCAGGTTGTATCTAACGTTAGCAGGCAGGAGATCATCCTACAGCACACGGCTCACATGCTTCATGCAGCTGAAGCTGATAAAGAGAGAGATGTGTCCCATAATGCAGAACACATGAAGCATTCATTCTGTTCAGGTGATAAATACTCCATCATCTCTAAAAACCCAGATAGCCCTAAAAAACATTTAATGTTGTTCTGAAGACATTGTTCAATTGTTCAATGTTTTTTCAATCAGGATAATTAATATAGCAACCAAACTAAAAATGTATATATTTTTGTATGAAACAATAAAAACACAACATTGATTTAACCTAGGGCTGCTCGATTATGGCAAAAATGATAATCTCGATTATTTGGGTCGATTTACTTTGAAAACATCCATTTATTTAAAAAAATAAATAATTGAACAGCATGTTTTTAACAGTTGATTACCCTGAACTTTAAGTATAATTCAACTGAAAAACCAATAAAATAAAATAAATAATTGTTTTATTTCGATTATGTTGTTTTCATAATCGTTGCAAGCCAAAATCGTAATTGCGATTAAAATACGATGAATTGAGCATCCCTAATTTAACCTGTGAATTAACTTTCAATTTTGGTTATGGAATTGAGCAAGGACATTTTTCCTTTTTAAATGGGTGCATAACTAAAAAGAAGAGTCACTCAAATATATTCAGAAAATACAAAAAAAGACCATCTGGGTTTTTTTAAAGATTGCCTGGTGTATACAATATTTGTAGGAAAACAGATGCTTAGCTCTTTGACTCGAAGGTGTTGGTAATAAATGAAATGTGCAAACTGTTATTTACCTGATCTAACTGTCGAGTGCAGATCTAACCAGGAAGTTCCTGATGTAGGACTGTCGCTGTTCCAGTATGGCTTTTGCTCAGAAAGGCTGCGGTCATCAGACGACATAAAAAGAAATCTCTGCTTACATTGTCCAAAAATATCTCAAAGCAGGCGTTTGAAATGGAGCTACTGCTTAGGAATCTTTTTGAATGTTAGACATGTGAATGTTCAGATTGAGTACCAGGTCGAGAACGCTTTTATACTGACAATTCAGATTGACATGGCATTTAATCTGAACAAGAGCACACGTTTGAACATCATCTATGGGGAACTAGTCATCGCATTATATATACACTACACATTTAAATAAACTAACAAAACACATCAGCAGGACATCATTTCCTGCTTCAGTAATGATACACGTCCTTTAAAGTTAAAAGCGAGCATGACTTCTTAATGACAGAGCGGGTTTGAAAGTGCTTTACTGTAAGACTGATATAAGCTCTCAGTTATTTCTGTTGCGTCATCAAGGCCACCGCGCTTCCTGCTGCAAGGGTCACTTGAAAGGAGAGGAAAGGAGAGGAAATGAAAGTGCGTGCGAGCGTTCATGGAAGTCAGAGGAAGAGAAGGTGTGGTCACCAGAAGCCAATTGAGCCTAATACAATGTATAACAGCGGGTTCAACTGCAACCATAGTGCAGGCCTTCTTGAAATATGCCGTTCAAGGTTAGGGGAAGTGGAAGTGCAACAGGAGGAACTACTGGACTGCACATAAGCAACTTCTGTAAATGACATTCAAACCACATTACCAAGTGTTATGTGGAAAATGTTCTGCTGGGTACCAACACCTTTCCTGTGTCCTCAAGTGTACAGTACACTCCCTAGAGGTAGTCATTGTCGCCACTGCTCACACATCCTGTTGGAACATGCAGGAGCAGCTCAGGGGAAAGAACTGGCAACGTCCTTCAATATCCACTCAACCAGACAGCCACCATGTGGTGAGCTCAGAATATAATCCTTTCATCTCTCGTTGTCCCTGATTTCTGCCTATTAAAGCCTGAAAATCACTCTTAAAGGGGTTGGAACATATGAGGGATTTAAATTCAGGACAGGAAATGTTCAGTGGCATTTGAGATGTTCCCTGGGGTGTTCCTTTGCTAGCTTGTCTCTCTCGGGTCCGAAAATGCAGTTGGCATGCCAGGAGAACCACACGATGACGGAGATGATGGTGGTCTGGAGGAGGAGCATCACCCCATAGGTTGAAGTAATTGTAGGTCCAGGTAGGGGGGCGAGGGTGGCGGGGGGCAGCAGCAGAGTCGGGCTGAGCAGGATGGCCTTCACCTCGGCCTTGATCAGGTGGAGCTCGTCCAGGATGGACAGAAAGGTGCAGCAGTGGAACCACTGGTGGCTGTGGCCCCAGATGTCGAAGCGCCCCGGGGCCAGCCGCTCGGGGATCTTACTGATGTTGAACACCGCTGAGACCAGCAGCCAGAAGCAGTGGCGATAGAAGAAGCCGGCTGTAGAGGTGGAAGCCGCAAAGGACGAGGAGGTGGTGGAGTAAGGTGATCTGGTGATGAGGCGGTAGAAAATGGGCGTGGAAGAGACGAGGAACGGCAGGAGGAAAACGAAGGTTCGGATGAGGTATCGATGCCGCCTCCACCTCTGTCGAGTATTGCAGCAAGACAAGACGCAAATGATCGCGACAAGACATGCGGAAGGGATGTAGAAGTTCTCAAAAAACACACAGAAGTCTGGGATTGCATAGGATAGAGAGCCTGCAGGTTCCTCTTTCAAGTCCGTTTGGGAGCCATTGTTGCCTCCTGTCTCCACTATACCTGCTCGAGGGTGGATGTAGTAGTAGTACGCCAAAGATGAGCCAACTGTGTAGGAACTGATGGTGCCGTAATCCACAAAGAAGCAGACTTCCCTCACCACCAGAGACATTGAGTTGAGCAGGTGGGCCATGCTGCTAGCCATTAACAGACAGAAGACCCCAATAAAGTAGTTCCACAGTGGATAGAAGAACGGGGAGTCGGCATGTGGCGCACCTTCCCAACCAAATACCTCCACGAAATAATATGCAAAGATAAAAACTGGCAGGAAGTGTGTCCAGAAGTTGCCTGTCTCATTGGTAGGCCTGAATGCTGACAGTAAGCAATCCTTCACGCTGTAGTTTGGGAAGCGGTAGCCGGTCAAGATGAAGTTTTCTTTGACCCGATGCGGCACATCCGTGTGCCTCAGAAGAGGCATTGACTGGCCACAATTTAGAAGCATACTGGCAACAGTTAATGTCTCTGACAGCAGAAAGTGTTTAATTGAATCTGTGCTTTCCTGCACAGCACTGAAGGTTTTATTGCTTAACTGTCGGCTGATTACAGCAGTTAATGATCACCATACAATCTCTTGCTTATGTGTGGATAAGGCATCTGCCGGCTGCTCTGGTTTGAAAGACATTTCAGCCCTGCTCTTCTGTCGACCTTTGACCCCAGCTCCACTGTGGGCCCCATGAGCTGTAGGCTTATCCAAATAGAAGATATGGTGTATATTCTAGCGGTATCCCGTGAGAAAACGGCAGGGCAGAGTTCAGCAAAGAGAATTCTCAGGCCAACTGCTTTGATATGTTTCGCTTCCTCTTGACCCGAGAGCCCTACAAAAACGTCAGCATGCAATGATATTCATGCTGTTTATATCATGTTCCCTTCTTAGCATAATGCATGGTTTGCATCTCCTTCTTCAGTCACATCCACATTTACATGTCTTGCTTTGGACAGATCTGCAGCAGCAAATAAAAATGAAGGTCACTTATTACTGTGTTACAAGGTTACACAGGACGTCAGTCAGTAAGATGCTTCCACACAGCAGAGAGGTCCTGAAGGAGCGTCCATTCAGCTCTGCGGTATGTAGGTCAGACTGGCATTCAACCCCCAAATACAGGCTTCTCTTCTCCTGTTGTTCCGTCCTTCAGCCTGGATCCACGTCCGACTTTCAATTCATCCAGCTCCGGTCCGTTGCAATGCAGTCCGCTGCGGAGGGGAATAAATCCCCCGGGGTTAAAGCCAAACGCTCTGTGTGCCGGTGCTCGGTCCTTTACCGTGAGGTCCCGTTTAAATATTTCCCGGGTCACGGGTGATAGCTGGGACAACGACTGCCGTGAGTCCCTGTGAGCCTAAAGCCGACCGGCGTTTCGGCAAAGCACCGGGGAGAACCGGAGACTGTTTGACAGGTACTCGCATCAAGTTACATAAGCGTTAATACCGGGGTTCCGCTTGTGAGTTTCAAAATAAAACGAAGAGGTAGTTATCACTTTTAAAGGTCATAATGGTTGTTTCCAGTTACATCTAAACCAGGGCTGGGGAACCTCCAGCCTCCGGGCCGTATACGCAGGGCCGGCCCTAGACATTTTGGTGCCCTAGGCGAGATTATGATTTGGTGCCCCCCTTCCAAGCAATACACAATAGAATATATAAAGAATAAATGAAAAATCTCTACAAAAGACAAATACACTACAACAACTGAAACGTATTGACCTGTTGGTTGTATACATAAAGAAGGTTTCAATTGTATTAATTATGGTATGAACATGTTTTAATTGGGGGGTGGACGTCACATCCTCTAGGGATATTAATATAAATGTATTACATCAAGGGCAGAAAATTAGGCAGAATAAAAAAAATATATATATATATTTTAATATTTTTTTTATTATTATTTTTTTCTCCCAGCGCAGCGCCCCTCCAGATCTGGCGCCCTAGGCGACCGCCTAGTTCGCCAGTGACAAGGGCCGGCCCTGCGTATACGGTCCGCGAAACCATTTGATACGGCCCTCGAGGTAATTTATAAACACACGAAAAAAAATTAAAACCAAGAAATATAGACCGCAAAAGAATTAAACAAGCGAGTGCCTGTTTTTCCTGGCACAGGTCAGAACACAACACAACAAGCCTAACGTGTCATCACATGGTATATGTCTCGACTGACATGGGTGTAGTGCTGACGGAGAGCACCAGAACGCCGCTCCGGCACTTCAAAAATTGCAGTACGCATAAGGAGTTGCACACATGGGACGCGGGAAGTCAGTCAGAGAGGGGTGCGGCGTGCGGGGGGGGGGGGGGGTGCTAATCAGAGGACGACTGAACAGGACCAGGTAAGAGTGCAGAGGGGGTGTGCTAGTGGAGCCTTGCAGCGGCGAAACTGTGGCACGCTACTACACTGTAGGTGCGCCACGTTTGCGCTTCAGAGGAGGCTGCCTCCGCAAAATGAGGCCCCATCCGTGGGGTCTGCGTGATCTGTAGGGAGGGGCAGCCCTGTATAATAACGTCATATTAAATGCAGTCATTTGGTCTTTAGCAACAGCTTGTGAGAGCAGTGCATTCATCTGTGTTCCTTTTAATGCTGCCAGTTTGTTGACGGCCTGTGTGTTGATGGGACTTCTCATGCTCCCTAAATGTTTCCCCTGCCTTTCGCCATTAAACCCTGCTTTCACAAAACTCCCATCCCTGATCTTGTCTGCACTGACGAGCTTCTTTTCTATAGCAGAGCAACAGAAGAAACACACCGCATTATCACTTTCTCTTATATAGTGAAGCTTTTTATAGACTGCTTACACTAAAATGCTAACTCAAAAATAGTAACTACAAATAAAACTTTTGTATTTTGTTGATTTGTTTAGTGAACTTTTTGGCGTTGCAGTTACAACTCTCCACCAACAGATGGGGGTGCTGCAGCCCCCTCAGCACCCCCCCCCCCCCCCCCCCCCCCCCCCCCCCCCCTTCCCGCGTCCCTGCCGCAGTTTTTGCGTGGCTGTGTCTTTAGTTGTAAGCCCAGTGGCGATCTGTTCATCTGTCATACTGATCATATAATAACGCCATCGAAAATAATAGGATACATTACAGTACAAGTACTTCTGGGTCTTTGTGTGTCATTCAAGTTTATAAGTGGAGTGATTAGTAAAATATCCATAATGAAAAAGAAAATCTGCTTACAGTTCTGATTCATATGGATGTTGAGAGATGTATCCATAGATCTCTTAATTTCGTCTTCAATTCTCTCTCCAGTTTTTTTCATATGTTTAACCTTGATTTTTTTCACGGTCTTATCATTACAATTACATCATATTTTCGGATGTTTTATTGTTTGTTTAGTCGGGGCAGTAAAGCAATTAATCTGAATTAAAACAGAGAGAAAACCTGAGCCTTATTTTGAAGGCAGATTCACTCCGTTTCCGGTCCCATTCTGAATAACTGCGTGCCTGCCCTTGAGGCAGTCTAACGGGGAGAGCCGAACTGTTTTAAAGCTTTGAGTTTCTCTTTTTCAGTCTGTTTGCTGTTCAGTCCTCCATACAAATATCCTGTAGACGAACATTAGAGACAGACTGAACTGAGCCGAGCCGTGCTGGCTCTCCTGGGCTCGGTTTGAAATGCACAGTCCGTCCTGTAGTGTAATCCTGTTTCTGAGTATCTGAACCACAAAGAGCCTTCAGCTGTCCCCCTCCTCTGTTTGTGTTGTGAGGCTTTCAATGGACACACAGAGCCTCCTCATGCTAAAGCAAAGGTCCTGTGTTACATCATATCATGTGAGGAGGCACTCTCCTTCATCAGAGTTCTCAATCCCTTTACATGTTAGCATCTTCGTTTGAGTTCAGTCTCTGGTCCATTTATATTTCAGTTTAGCTTATGCCCTATATGAAAATTGCTTTTTGTTATCTTAATGTGGAGAGGTGGAAGAAGTACTCAGATCCTTTACTTAAGTAGAATTAGAAAACTATGGTCCTAAAATACTACATCACAAGTAAACAAAGATCCTGTATTCAAAATGTTACTATATAATCATAAGTAGAGAATATTTATCAGCTAAATGTAAATTAAGAATTACCCAGTATGCAAATGGTTCTGTCACCGAATTGTATTATCATATAATATTATATATATATTTTTACATTTAAGAGGATTTTTAAACGTGTAGTTTGTCAGTTTTAGAGGTTTGTGATATACTGGGTTTAATAGTAATGTAGCCTACTGCATCATATCAAATCAGTATATCATGTGTTTTTATATAGAAATGTAACTAGTAAGTGTTAAGAGTGTTCAATAAAAAGTACAATATTGCCTCCTAAATGTAGTGGAGTAGAAGTGTAAAGTAGTATACAATGGATATACCTAAGTTAAGTAAAATACTTGAGTAAATGTAGTTACATTCCACCGCTTGAGAATGTGTTTCTTTCCCACAACATTTGCTTATGATCTGATGGCTTCTGTAACTGCAATTTCCCATTTCATATCTATATCTATAGCAAGATGCTCATTCCATTAAAGAAATAAAATTAGTCGATATTAAAAAGGGTATTTCATTTTTGTCAATTATATTCAAATAAATGTATGTGGCCCTGTGAAGCTGACAATTCAGCGGCCCGACCAAGCCCGGCTTGGTCGGGCCGAGGCAGAGGCAGAACGTCCAAATACGACCCGGTGTGGGCATTTATTCATCATTGACACATGATTCACAGCCTCAATATTGCTGTCCACCTGAACACAGTCAGCAGCCACAAGGATCTCACACACAAAACAGGAAACACAGAGCCTAAATACACACAAACTAATCAACCGAACAGGACACAGGTGAGGGGGGAGGAGACAACACAGGGCACCAGGTGAACACAATCACCAGTAACAGACAAGACGGGAGGGGGAACACTTTTCAAAATAAAACCAGGTAACAAATCAACATACTTCGCCAGTAAGGACGCTATATTATCCATAGCGGAGGCCTCGGTCTATGGGCCCAGAGATCACCTCCGTTACAGGCCCTTTACAAGCATGGGTTTACCCGCCTTTATATCTATCCTAAAGTCTTATCAGTTTATACAGCAGGCTTATGTCGGACCCCCAAACAAGAACAATTCATCAATTATTAAAGACGTATATGGCTTCTTTTTTGCAACGTATCACACTGAATAAACCATAGTGGTGCTCATATATCATTTCCTTTAGGGTATACGAGACAACCAGGACCAAGTCAAGGAGCCCCGCTCATCCTTCTTCCCTCTCTGTGGTGGCCAGATGTCAGCAAGTCTTGCTCAAGAATGCGGTGAAGGTGGCCACTTTCCAAATTCCCCAGAAGAATAAAAAGCAGTGCACGGCAACCTGGGAGAAAAAAGTGCAGCAGGCTGCAGGATTTAACGAGTGACAGGCTCGGGGGGGTTGATGGATGTGGAGCTACGCCTGTAGCAAGTTATTATGACATAATGGATATGAATGGCTGAGTAGACTTACATTAAAGGCCCTCATACAGACTCATATTTGGCCCTGGACACATTTGAAGTGAAGGACTGTTTCCAACACATTGCCTCACTTACAGGATTGGTCTTCCTTAGAACTGCATGAGTTAGTCTGCATGTGTAAACAGGACAAAGAACAACAAGTATGCAGTGAGTCAGTCACTTGACTGGTCATGTTTTGTCTTTAAATATTCATGTCATAAAAATGCTATTTCTTTCAGTATCAACAATGCCAAATTGTTCTCTTTATAAATGGTGTGGTCTTTAAAATTGTAAACAATGTCCATCAAGGTTTCGGATGGTTTCATTTACCATTTAAATGTTCTGTTCAGCTCGACCAAAAGTCCACAACCAAAACATGTTCATACATAAAATTGCAAATTTGCAATTCTAAAAAGCTAGAACAAATATATGTTTTAATTTTTTTCTAAAATGAATGTGTTGATTAATGAGTCAATTATTAAACTAACTGTTTCAACTGAAGCACTAATATATTGTTTTTGCGCTGTTTTTTCATCATGCCTTTTCAAATAGAGCTGCATCTCACTTCTTTAAATGGTATTTAATTAGTCTTTTTCCCCTCTCTGCCCCAGTGCTGCTCGGCCTTCCTCTCTCTGAAGGTGCGCTGCGGGGACAGGGAGGCTGAGGTCAGGTCACTGAGGGGTGTGTCCACAGGCGGCTGCCGATTGGCTGAAGGCTTGTAAATGAGGTGGAAGATAAAGCCGTTGGAATATCTAGGAAGCAAAGTAAAATAAGTAGGAGTACAGAATAACTAAGATTAAAATGTTACAACGCAGTGATGAATGATAAAGATTGTCCAATGCGTTGTAGAAGTGAGAGCTGACATGGAGTCAGAGTTACAGTGATGCAGCAAAACATGTTGGAATCTATCGCATCATACTATGTTTCATTGAAGCTGTGACTCAACATTTAGCTCCATTACCTTCTGCTGGACTATCTTTTATGTTTTTAAAGCATTTTTGACATACATTTGAACAAGAACTGTGTCAATCCACACAGATTCAGACATGTATTACTTCCTGCATTTTTGTGAGTCACTTTCTTTATATCAAAGAGATTCAGATCAAATGATAGGTTAACTGCAGGTGTTTCCTGTCATGACCTGTTTGGTGGAGTGATAGAAATGTGCAGCTGCCATGAAGCCCTTGGTCTTACAAATCGCTTTTATATGAGCCTTTTACAACAGAAACATTTGGTGGATTAGGTAGAATTTAGATTGAATCCAAGTCCAGTAACAAATGCATTTTTAAAATCTATGTTTATATCATCTTGAATCATTTTTTATTTGGCTCAAATTTGACTAAAGTCAAAAAAGAACGATATACCAATCAGTTTTGTCAGTGGAGAAGACAGAAAGGATTCATGTTCAGAAGCTGCAGCTGCAGAGTCAGCACTCCACACACAAGGAGTGAAACATTCATGTGATTACACATTTGAGAATAGCTTTTCTGCTATGAATTGAATCATTCCTCAGCTCCAGGTTGCCGGGGCCTACAGGTGGTGTAAGACCGTTTTAAACTCCCTCACCGTGGCAGCCGGTTGTCTCCTCCGTTCCTGCGCAGCGGGCAGTGGAAAGGGTTGATGGTGGGTCGGGACACGGCCCCCCCGGTGGCCTCCCTCATCACCTGATCACTGCGCTCACATCGCAGCTCGTTCATCTCACAGAAGAAGGTGGGGACCCTCAGAGACTGATGGACACAGAGCTGTCAGTCAGGCTGGGAGTTGTGCAGTGGAACGGTGATGTCATTAAAAAGGCCCGTTTGAGTTACACCTCTAATTGATTGTCAGTTACAGGATGGTTCCCATATCGGCTCTACGATTATCAAAGTTATTTTTGATTCTGCAACCTATTTACGTCCCTACCATCCCCACTTTGGCAGGCTTAACCCTTACATGGTTTCTGTTTCCTGTGGATAGTGGCATTTGACCGGCTTTGTCCATGTGTACAACGGGCTTAATCAATATAGGTGACCAAACAGTGTACAGTGTAACATGGGCACATTATGGGTGTAATAATGGTGAAACATGGGTGTAATAGCGGTTTTCTAATGTGTAATGTGGGTGTAATAATGGTGTAATAAAAGTGTAATTACGGTATACTATGGGTATAATACTGGTGTAACATAAATATAATATATGTCTATTAAAAGTGTTATATGGGTGTAATACGGGTGTAAAAACTGTGTAATAGGGATATATTTTTGTGTAATATGGGTGTAGTAAAAGTACAATATGGGTATAATTTAGAAAATAGCAACACATTAATTTTCGAAAATATTTATATGTGATTGCCCATTTAAGGGTTAACACTACCCATATGTGCAATGGTTGGTAGGACTGAGATCAATGTGGTCCCAGCCCAGTCCATTGTCTTAAAATCACAAACTGTATTTTTGACATTGCTGCTATTGCTGAAGAAAAGATCCAGGCTGAAAAATACCAGAATTTCCAATGACTTTTTTCTACTGACAGTGTGATTTGTTGTGTGAGCCGCCCTAATAACCAGTGTTGTGTGTTTCTTGTATTTGTAACCTGGAGTTTTGGAAGAGTGCTCAACCAAGAGTCATTTTGCAGGAAGGCAGGCTGGAAACCTGTGGACGAACAAACACAGATCATAGAACAGAAGCTCACAGACAAAGGCTTTAGAAGTGAGCTTCCTTACCACCATTCAACAACCGACAATACATTTATCATTCAAATAAACACATGAATAAAACTAAAACAAGCAGCCAGTTTACAGTTTGACACACACACACACACACACACACACACACACACACACACACACACACACACACACACACACACACACACACACACACACACACACACACACACACACACACACACACACCGATGACCAGGTCGGGCGGGGGCTCCTGCAGCGCGCTGTAGGTGCTGCGGTGCAGACTCACTCTGACGCCCTCCCTGGCAGCCCCCCCATGGGGCAGGCTGCAGTCAGTGAGGACCACCCTGCCATTCTGACAAAACACAGCAACGTCAGTGCACTGATTATGAAATATTCATAGAAGATAAGATATACTTTACTGATCCCAATCACAGAATAGAATAGAATAGAATAGGGAGGGATGAAACCCTCTTTAATGGTCACACATGCAGAGCACACAGCACACACAGTGAAATTTGGCCTCTGCTTTTAACCCATCCTAGTACCAGGAGTCTAGTACTAGGAGCAGTGGGCAGCTATTGTACAGCGCCCGGGGAGCAATGGGAGTGGGGGGGAAGGGGGGTGTCCGGTGCCTTGCTCAAGGGCACCACGGCAGGGCAGGAGGTGAACTGGGACCTCTCCAAGTAGAAGTCCACACTCCATATTTAGGTCTGGTCGGGGACTTGAACCAGCGACCCTACGGCTCCCCTACGGCGACCCTACGGCTCCCAGTCCAAGCCCCTACTGACTGAGCCACTGCCGGACAGCAGCATTGATAAGACATTGTGCATGAATACAAAAATTGAATAAAACAATAAAGATATACATATCAGCAGTAGAAGATAAACAAAATATGAAGGATGTATATCTAGAGAGTATATATACTGAATACACAATATAAATATACAAATATACACAATAGAGGCAGTGCTTGACCAGCCTATCACTTCGGGATTTGAAATCAAATATGAAGTGCTTTATAAATGGAACCCATTATTATTATTATTATCAAACTCCCAAAATGTGAACATTGAATACAATATACACTTTACATTTACATTTGAGTTAGCACATATATGTAGTTCTCAGTGTTGGAAGAAGTACTCCATTACGTAAGTAAACGTATAGTATTGTAGTCAATGTGGACCAAATGTAGATACTAGAAACACTGTTTAGATAAGTAGTAAAGTACTGCATTATACCACATCAGCATATCATGTGTTTTTATATGTACAAAGTAACTGTGATTGTAAAAAAAAATGTAGTCGAGTAAAAGTACAATATTTGCCTCTGAAGTGTTAGGCAAGGCAAGGCAAGTTTATTTATAGAGCACCTTTCAACACAAGGCAATTCAAGGTGCTTTACAAAAATGAAAGACATTCAGACAAAGGCATTTAAAAACAGTCATTCAAAAGAAAAGATAATGAAATAAACATTAAAAGAAAAAATACATGAATACAAAGTTACAGTGCAGTTTAAGATATGAATAGTTCACACAGAAGTTCCACTTTACTGATGCCCTTCTTTAAGGTTTCTCCGAACATGAGCTGTGTACGCTTGTATGGCACATACGTCCCGAGCAGCATACACAGAGAAAACCAGCCAGGACAAAGTCCCCAGACACTGATTCCCTGGGGTTACTAGCCCCAAATGTTCATTAACCAAAAACAAAACACTCAGTTTCAATTAAAAGCAGCGGCAAAAAGAAAAGTCTTCAGACTGGATTTAAAAGTAGTAAGAGTTTGATATTGGCCTGTAATTGTTCGTTACTGAAGCATCTAGATTATGCTTTTTTAAGAGCGGTTTAATGACTGCAGTTTTCAGGGCCTGTGGAAAAACACCTGAGTGAAGAGACTTGTTTACTATGTGAAGTAGATCTGAGGCCAAGCAAGGAAAAACATTTTTGAAAAACCTTGTTGGAATAATATCAAGGCAGCAGGAGGAGTATTTCAGAAGTTGTATAATGTCCTCTTTTTTTTAAGGTTTAATGGATTAGAAGTATAAAGTATTAAATGGAAATACTCAAGTAAAGTATAAATATGTCAAAAAAGTACTTAAAGGTAGGGTAGGTAAGTTTGAGAAACCGGCTCGAGATCGCTAGAATTTGAAAATACACAACCGGAGAAAATGTGCCACTTCCTTACAGAGCCCCTCCTCCAACACACACGAACGCGCACATGACCAATGAGGGCACGAGATAAGTTTGTGCACAGATGGAAGGCTGACAGGCAGGTAGGCCATCCAGTTATTTTAGCCGGGCCGGCTAAAATGATTGGTCGTGCTTTTTACAGTATTACGGCTTCCACAGATGACATTTTTTTATGGATTTTTTGTCAAAGCACTTAAGATATTCATTGCTATCGGGATGTTAAGAGCATTCCATGGAATATAACAAAAAGTGTATCTCGAGCTGGTTTCTCAAACTTACCTACCCCACCTTTAAGTACAATACTTGAGTAAATGTAATTAGTTCCTTTCCACTACTGGTAGTCCTGTAGGAGAGACAGGTCATTCATTGCTCCAAGTTGCTCTGAACACTGTTCCATACGTGTTCCACTCAAACTGAGGCAGAGAGGCTGGGACTCACAAAGCTGTGTCATCTTTTAAAACCAACGCTCACAGTACAGCTCGTTTTCATTTCCAGTTGACAAAGCAGCCAACACATGGTCAACAGTGGGAGGATCTGAACACTCAGCTGGTTCAACCTGTTTACAGTCTCCTGTTGTTTACTCTCATTTACATATGTTTCTGTTCATGTGTGTAAGGCAGCTGAACAACTAACACCAAGCTATTTGATGTGGGCTCAGGGCTAATGAAAACAATCAGGGCCGAGCCTCCATTAAACATGCAACCTCATTTCTGTTCCTCACAGCTTCACTAACCAGAGCAGATGCTTTGCATTCGACCAGCAGCGTGAAAAGGTCCCTGGCTGTCAGTGGGCCTGATTAAATAACACATTTACAAATGAAAGTGTCTGACAAAATCAATACCCTAAAGTGACAACAGTTCTGCTATGTGATTGATTTTAAACGAGAAAGAGAACATTAGAAGAGACCAAACTTTGCTGCCACTAACTGATCCTGACAAGATGTGAGGGTGATCCACTCTGCAGCTGTTTTAGAAAAGCTCTGCCAAAAACAGCTTTGTCTCTTTTATAGAAATATATATACTGCAAATAGCTACCATTTTCTGTATCACAAGCTGTACTTTGTCACACCAGCAGGGAAGACGCTCACGGACGAACACCAGGTCAAAGGTCACATGTGGCAGAAGCACTGATAGTTCCTGTAGGAGAAACACAGACAGGAAGTTCAAAGTGATGGTCAAACAGCTCACTGACATCGGATAGAAAATCGGATACAAAAGCGAGGGAAAACTAATAAATAATCGAAAGAGCGGCCATATGTCGAGACAAATTAACCAAAATCCAAGCTAAATGTAGGAGAAAAAGCAAGAGGTTGCAATTATTTCAATGCCCCAATAGTTCCCCCAATAGCTTTTGTTGTAATTATAGTCCATAGTTACTCAAAAACAAACATTATTTTCCCACAGGAAATACACAACCCTCAGGACTGAAACACAGCGCTCATTAGTGATAGTGGTATTTATTATAAAGGCATGAACAACCCAACACTGCCCGATTACAGGAGGTTGTGGCTTTGTAGTAGGATTTAAAAATGATGACGTCATTCTGCATCATAATCATAATTAATGTTTGCTGCAGGTAGATTGTGTATTTGTAACAGTGCGCTCTTGTTTTGGGTCGAATGGCCATCAGAGAGATTAGCTTCGGAGTGATGTCAGAACCACAGGCTACCCTGGAACAGGTTAGGTGAAAACACGACATTTTGTAAAAGAAGATTCTGACTAAGTTAATAAAATACTTTAGAAGGCAACAGCAGTTAAATCTCACCCAGAAGGTGACCAGAGTTTGGGACTCCCTGTAGGACTCGATGATGTGGATCCTCAGGGACTGTTTCCTCAGGATGTGCATCTCTGGAACTGAGAGAGGAGGGACACAAACACACAGCCACACCAACATAGACTTTTATTCTAAATTAATGTATTTCGTACTCTAGCGTTACTTCAAATTGCACTGTTTTTATATATTTAATACAGCCTTAAATCAAGTTTCAGCCTTAAACCAATCCCTCGCTCCTCCCTTGTTGAGAGGTTATCCCTGTGGAACACTCACATTGCCTGGGCAGCAGGGAGGTGATGATGTAGTAGATGGAGAGGGTGGAGCTGAGCAGGGGGGCCACGACAGAGCTCAGACTGAGGCCCCTCCACTCATAGTACTGACGCCACGACACTGAGAGGAAGTACAGCACAGTAGTGCTAGAATCTCTATCATTGTGTGAGTCAAACCCTTGTGCCTCACTAGACACATTTTCCTCTTTTATTATATGTTTCATTCTCATGGCTGTTGGCGGCTATGGTGTGAGTTTAATCCCGAACTTCAGCTCCTATGATTCTCTAGTAAACTTTGTAGCCAAAATACAGACACTCAGACAGATAAAGACTAAAATGTCCGCATTGAAACCCAACAGGCTCAAAATCTAAAGCCATTTTACATTTTGGATTTTAGAATTGTGGCTTTTACTATTTACTATCCAATTGAGCCCTTTCCATCGATACAATCCACTAATGTCAATGTTGTGTTGGAGCAGAACACCTCTGCTACGCGCCGTTATAAAGTATAATGTGCCATATGAATCTAAATCCTGCATGTTAACATCTAAGGCATTGCCTATTTAAATGATAGGATCATGCTGTGGAATGTGTAAGAAATTAAAATCAATGTTTATATGGCGTAATTTAGATTAAATATTACGGTTTTAATTAAAGCTGTTTTATTCTGAAAAACCGGAAGTTCACACTCACTCTTAACTTAAAACGTTTATTCTGAAAATTCTTCATCTCCGGTTAGCATTAGCGTGAGCATGAGAAAAAGTGAATTTAAGGTGAAAATGACACGTAGTATGACGTATGACAACCCCGTTGTTTACATGACGTCACTACCGGCTTCACTTTATCAATGATTACAGCCGTTAAAATGCATTAAAGGGGACCTATCATGCAAAATGCACTTTTGTACGTCTTTTATACATGAATATGTGTCCCCGGTGTTCCAGGGAACTCACCAAGTGTCAGAAAACACAACCCTCTCTATTTTCCTCCATACCCAAATCTCTAAAAAAGGGACTGCAACGGATCTGATAAAAACTGATCCAGATTTGAACACGTTACTGACGTCAGGACGGTGGCGCTACGGCTATTGGGCCAACTCTCCACCTATCAGGGGAATGTGGGGTTGGGCCACGGCCGGCCATTGCCGCTCGAAAGCGCTGGAGACGCTGTAGTACATATGCCAGGCCTGTAAGTGGCGCTGTAGTCTGCCACAAAAGCAGCGAAGAAGACTTCCCGCCCATAGTTACCATGGTTACCCTTCTGTTTATTCTCCGCTGTGGCTTTTTTTCTCCCTCCCCGAGGCAAGCGTTTGCTCCCGCTGCTTTAATTCAATGCAATCCCTCCCCGTCGAGGCAAGCACTGTAATTCTCTCCGGTTAGTCCACCAGCAGATGACAAACACCCACCTCTCCGCCTCTTCCAAGGAACGAGGGGACCGTGCAGCAGAGTTTCAGTTTCAGTTTCTTTCGCCGGTCAAGATGTCCGTTAAAGTTTAAATCTTCCGGACAAAATTAGAAAAGTGCCGGTCAAAGGTCTTCTTTGTTATTTATTGAGCTTTAAAACAAATGAATAACGACTCTATATAATAAAACACGGAGATCTCTTTTTCTCCCCCTCTTCTGACAGCCCAGCAGCTGATCAGAGCACGTCTCCCCTCTCCTGCAGGGGGGCGTGGTCAGCAGAATCAGACCCGTAGACAGCAAACAGCACATAGAGCGAAATGAGGCATGGCTTAAATGCATGATCTGTTTGGTATTTTGAAAACAGAAACGTATAAATATACCTTATATAGGTATGGCCTTACAATATATCATTTAAATATAGCATCCACTTTAAATAAAAAGTCATGAATGAGAATACGAGGAGAAAAAAGGCGTGTGGAGTTATACAATAAACACACAACGTCTAACTCCTTTTATTTACGCGATATCAGACACAGAAGAACGAGGGGGAGGAATACCCCCCCATCGTCGAAGCAGCCAATGAGAGGAGGAGCCAGGAATCGCATATACAGACGCTCCTCGGAGAATCAGCCTCTCTCCTTCCTCCTCCCGACACGGCGCCGTGTTTTTACTTCCTCTGTCTGATTCGAAACCACGTTACTTCAATAAATTACCCATTTGAACTTTTCCGGGACTGCATTGTCTCTTTTTAACCTCTTAAGCCCTGAGCCTGTTTTTCAGGTCTCAGGCTCGAAAATGACATTCCCAGAACAAATGACCATATCTTCCCTTCTAAAAGGGTTAAATTAATAATCTTTATTCTCAAAGTAATGATAAACCTGTGAGTTGGATGTAGAAAAGTCAGAATCAATATAGATGTTTTTTATTTTAAAGAAAATTCAGATTTTACATAGTAAAAAACTGTAAATTATAGTGTCTGTCCAAAAATTATTTTTTACTTATAGTGAAAACTACCCTTGGATGATGGGTTAGTAGACTAAAAGCTTTAGGAATCCAAAGTACAACATATAATAAGTACCCTGTATCAAGATTGATGCAAAACAATTGAAATTTGACCTTTTTAGAGAGATTTAGCCAAAAAAACCCACTTCTGGGGTCATTTGGGTGGATTTTCCATATCTCTGGCCCCCCTTTGCTCGATTTTGATGAATGAAATCTCTTTATAACCGCTAGAGCCAATGGAATCGAGGGAAAGTTCTATACACACCAAAACGTTAACAAATAAGGAGTGAGAGTGACGCGTTACCAAAACCGGAAGCTGCATACACTCTGGTGGCTACCATTAGCAGCTAACTTTTCCGCTCCGATTTTTACATAAAAAATGGAATTATGGATTATAAATAATTTCTTAAAAGGCACAGGTACATTATCAACCTATGGATCAACAGTTGTAGCATTTTTTCGTTTTAATGCCATTGAACACGTCTTTTGACCTAATTGACAGCTACGGTGAGACGATCTGCCGTAAAAGCTCCGTAAAGGTACGTGTTGTGATGTCTGTGTTTGCTTCCCCTGTCGCAAGTTCGGATCGCTCAGTGATGATACTATACCTAAATAATCAGTGGAGTCTCAGCTTTAATCGGCTATATTGTATGTGCAGCTACGATAAGTAATAAGGGTATCTTTATCTTGAATTGTGTGCCGCAGTGCGTTAGAATTTTTTCGCTCAGGGGTCATTTAGACGCTTCTTATGAGACTTGTGTTTTGTTTTGGTAAAAATAGTTCATATCTTCAGTTAGCTGAGATTCTTCCCGTTAATCTGGTGCTACACATTAATAGTTTCATAAATGTTAAGAAGCCCTGAGACATTATCTCGAAAACAAAACGGTGGGAGGGGTCCAATCCCCCATTGGACCCCTCCCACCTCCCCCGACCGCCGTGCTTAAGAGGTTAACTTCCTCCTGGGTTCGAGAACAACGATCACGATCTACAAATTGGTGACCCCGACGTGAGCTCGAAGATCCAGGAGAGAAAACTGCAGCTTTGAAGGAATTTCTACGAATCCATCAGACACACTGGGCCCAAATACATGGTAAGACAGAGCCAGTTAAATCAAAATCTTCAATAGTTTACGTAGAAAATATTAGATGTGTGTTTGATGGTGAGTAAACCTCCTGAGAAGAACTGCTTATTTAATCATCACGATCTACAAATGTTAAGTGTAAAAGCCTTAACTGAATAAGGTTTGTTTCTTTGGGAACACCAGTGTACCTGCAGTGAAGCTGAACGGCAGCTCTGCCAGCCGGGCTCCCTGCTTCATGTGACGGCTCAGTTTGGCACACCAGTGTTTGGCATCTGAGAGGAAACACTCTCCACAGAAAAACACTGCCTTACAGCGGGGGCTGCGGAGAGATAAGCAAAGCAGGCAGTTAAAGATAGAGGGAGGGGGAAGAACATCAGGTTCCAGAGCAGGGAGGCGAGCACCAGAGGAAAAACCCAGATAACATAGAGGAGAAGGAGGGGAGAGGATATAAAAACACTGCAAAGCACACTGGAGACTTTTTATCAACACAAAGCATGTAGTAGAAGGCAATATGTAACACAGAGGGAAACAATGTGTGGCAACTTTTAAAGAAGAACTTGTCCTGTTCACATGATTAATATGGTATACCCCAAACTGTATATTTTAAAGATAACATTTAACCCTTAAATGGTTTCTGTATCTTGTGGTCACAGTCATTTGACAGCCTGTGTCAATGTGTAACATGGGTCTAAACTAATTGTAATATCAATGTAATATCAATGTAATAAAAGTGTAATATTGGTGTAATATGGATGTTATATGTGTGTAATATGGGTGTACTAATGTTGTAATAAGGGTGTAATATGGGTGTAATATTGGTGTCATACTGTATGCATGTAATTTGGGTGTAACAATGGTGTAAAAACATTTTAATAACAGAGTAATATGGGTGTAATATAGATGCAATATGGGTTTGATAATAGATCAAATGTATACCCTACATTGGGAATGTATCTTAAGAGTATAACATGTGAAACTAGAGAATGCAATTCCTGAAGAAATTGCTAGTGGGAATGCTTTATGCTGAAAAGCTGACGCTAAACTGCTATGCTGAAATGTAATGTGTAAGAAGAAAGTGAAGAATTTAGATTGAAATGATACATGAACACTGGGGACTTGAATGTGTGAGAGAAGAAAAGAAAGTAAAAAGGCTTGGAAAAGCAGCAGAATATTTGAACTGCAAACTTTTGAACTAACTTGATGGCGAATGATCTGTCGCCATGCCAACGGCATATCTTTTAAATAACGTTAACTAAAGGGAACAATCTATTTGACACAGCTGAAGCTCTGGCCTTCCTTAAAAACTAACTCATTTAATAAAAATCACAGTTGTATTACACACAATGCACTGTTTTTTGAGAACAAACATTGGTAAATAATGCACCATAATACATTCTGACGAAAAATAAAAATTATTATGAATACAAATAAAATAAAAGAAGCCTCTCGTGAGTTACTACAAGCTATAAAGTAGATTTTAAAAACGTTTTATAGAATAAAAGCTCACTGCTGGACGTTGTAGAAATGCGTGTGTGCACCACGACAAAGGAGCCTCATTCACTTTACATTGGGGTTGTTTGCGTGGTGCAGACACGTAAATGTAGCAAAGTTCGTGACTCCACCACGCACTGCGGTGTTAAGGAGTCGTGGTGGAGTCACGCATTCTGGTGAGACCAGGTTGGCAGAAAAAGATAATAACAAATCAAACCAAAGTTACTTTAAGATGCTGGCTTTATCTACTGTTCATGCTCCTTCAAGGTTTGGTTTACCTGAATCTGTTGAATCTTGATGAAGAGCCACAGGTGGGGGGTTTGTCGAGTTTGGATGCAAATATGAATTGTTGTTTTTTTACAAAATCTTCTTGACAACAGTTCTATCAGTGGAACACTCTTCCACTGAGTTGTTTTTTCTCAGATCAGATTGGATAAAACAAGAGACCTTTCGAGTTACTTCAATGGAGTGAAAGTCCAGGAGCATGAAAGATGAGGGGATTTATTTCAACTCGACAACGTTACAATGTTCCACAGTTGTTATTCGGGGTGTATTTGTGATAAATTAGACTTTAAGAAAGTCTTAATGCTTTAGTGCACATTTTCTCATTGTGGTTTGTATTTTTAATTCCTTTTGACCTTGTTTATTGTAGTTTAACTCAAACATCTTGTCCACCTGGTTGCTTTTTCCTAACCTTTTAAAACCCTTTACTAGAATCTAGTAAATGGAACTTAAGATATTTTTTTTTAAATGTCTTATTTTTCTTGAAGCAGTGCAGATTCAATCCTAACAACTTATTTGTATCAATTATCTTTGTAATTTTCTATTGATCCACTTATAAACCTATTTCACTTTGTCCAAATAAAGCATTTTGTGTGCCTATACTTTACCTGGAAGTCCTGTACGTAGATTGTGGCTTGTCATTCTTGTTAGGTACAACAATATCTAGCCCCAGTGGTGCTCTGTGTCTGACTGTGGCTCCAGCAGGAGTTGTGATGCAGCTTTAGTTCTATTTCCCCTATCTACCGGGGGAACTGAGACAAATGGGATAAAACTACGCAAAACTCCTCTAATACATTTGATCAGATGTTACAGTTTTTGTGGTTTAATCTTCTGTGTCCTGGAAGAGGGTTCCCACCTCAGTCGTTCTCACTGAGGGTCCTACTATTCTAACATTTCTTACTTGTGATATTGGGCAATATATATGTAATATTTGATAGATGTGGATGAATACAATTGTGCCCAGGGGCGGACTGGGACTACAAATCAGCCCGGGACTCTCGACCGGCCCACTTCGGTACCGCCAGCCCACTTCGTTACCGCTGTCACTACCCGATCCGCATCCCTACCCGATCCGCACTGCACATGTGCGAGATGGTCCGCCATATTGGACAACTCCATACGGCAACTCAAATAGGACATTTGACGTCTAGACGGCTGCCCGATTTGCATTGTGCACAAGTCATAAACGTCTCAAATATCTATATAAAAATCTTTTGTTCTTTTATTTTATTTGAAATAAAATGAAGGACATTCACAGTGGGGTAGGTAATTTTGGAGAAACCAGCTCGAGTGCGCAAGAATTTGAAAATACACAGCCGGAAAAAATCTGCCACTTCCTTACAGAGCCCCTCCTCCAACACACACGAACGCGCACATGACCAATGAGGGCACGATATAAGTTTGTGCACAGATGGAAGGCTGACAGGCAGGTAGGCCATCCAGTTATTTTAGCCGGGCCGGCTAAAATGATTGGTCGTACTTTTTACAGTACTACGGCTTCCACAGATGATATTTTCTTATGGATTTTTTGTCAAAGCACTTAAGATATTCATTGCTATCGGGATGTTAAGAGCATTCCATGGAATATAACAAAAAGTGTATCTCGAGCCGGTTTCTCAAACTTACCTACCCCACCTTTAATGTAATTAGATATCAATTATGAATGCCATACATATTGCATACATTCACAGTCAATATTTCTTCAGTATGTATGATAGCTCTCTAACAGAAGTTAAATCCATTTCTCACTTATTCTGACAATGTACAGTACTTAACCCAATAAAATGACCCAATAAAAGGAGTTGTTCAATAATAGTGAAGTCACGTTGTAATAACAATAACTCATCGCTCTCGTTCAGATTAATATTGTCGGGTTTTTTGAGTGTTCTTTTTCTGCTTTGCCAAACGCCACTGTGTCAAGTGTCCTATTAGAGTTGCCGTAGTTGTCAAATATGGCGGACCATCTCGCACATGCGCAGTGCAGATCGGGCAGGGGTGCAGATCGGGTAGTGACAGTGATAACTGTCAGTAAATACCGCTAGTGAATTGTCAACGGGGGGGGTGCTAGTGTTGAGGAGCTCGACGCTCGTGGACTGTCAACAGGAGGGCGGGGGGTACCTCGCTGGGAAGCAGTGTGTGGTGGGCAGTGTGTCAGCGCAACTCTGGGAAGGGGGAGAATGAGGTGCAGCGGTGGAAAGGCGTAGGGCAGCTTTCTTGGCCATGGCTCGTGTGCAAACGCGTCCACCCCCAAGGTTGAATTGTCCCGCCGAGCCATGGAAAACCACAGGGTACATTGGCTGTTGCGCCGGCTGGCGAACAGGTCCACCTCCGCTCTCCCGAACTGGGCCCAGATCTGCTTCACCACCTCCGGGTGAAGCACCCACTCGCCTGGCAGGGGCCCGCCTCTTGACATGAGGTCGGCCCCCCTGTTCTCCAGTCCCAGGATGTGGAGGGCTCTCAGAGACAACACAACCTCTGAAGCCCACAACCACAGTTTCTCCGCTGTGGTCAACAAGGCGGCGGAGCGGACTCCGCCCTGCCTGTTGATGTTTGTTTGTTTGTAGCCTTTATTTAACCAGGTGAAAAATCCCATTGAGATCAACGATCTCTTTTTCAAGAGAGACCTGCGATGTACGCCACTGTGGTGCGGTTGTCGCTCCTCACCAGCAGTTTGCCCTGTATTAAGCATGAAGTAGAAAAGATCGCCGATGCTAATGTAGCGTTAGCGTTAGCATGTCTCCCCGGGGGCATCCGGGCTTAAACGGTGTATTATATAATGATCACACCGGTGTGACAGTACTCTTCAAAGGGTTCACGAAATATGACTACTACTCTTACTGTTTAACATTTTGGGTTACTTAAAGGTGGGGTAGGTAATTTTGGAGAAACCAGCTCGAGATCGCTAGAATTTGAAAATACACAGCCGGAAAAAATCTGCCACTTCCTTACAGAGCCCCTCCTCCAACACACACATGACCAATGAGGGCACGAGATAAGTTTGTGCACAGATGGAAGGCTGACCGGGCCGGCTAAAATGATTGGTCGTGCTTTTTACAGTACTACGGCTTCCACAGATGACATTTTTGTATGGATTTTTTGTCAAAGCACTTAAAATATTCATTGCTATCGGGATGTTAAGAGCATTCTATGGAATATAACAAAAAGTGTATCTCGAGCCGGTTTCTCAAACTTACCTACCCCACCTTTAATGTTACTTCATGTTAAGGCTAATAAAAATTACAAGGCTAAGGCTGTAATGCTAACTAACGTGCTTGCTACTAACTAGGTAGCTAACTTGATCCAGCCACTCCAGAGGCCTGTACTACGAAGCTGGTTCAACCTAACCTGGATATGTTTGAGTTAGCCGGTTGGCCCAATCCAAAACATACGCGCTCTCGCTAAGCTGTACTACGACGCTGGTTATCAAGTGATCGCTTAAGCCAGCCGTGTCCTATCTAGTTAGGTGCGCGTTCACATGAAAGGGGTGGTATTTGGAGCATTCGACCAATCACAAACATGGACAAGCGTACTGACAGCGCAGCGTCATACTTCCTGAATGAAAAGTGAACTTTAATATTAGTCAAATATGAAGAAGTTAAACTTTAAACATCCATGACTTAAACACTTTATCCAGGATAAAAGCCACATAGCTGCACCTGCAAGGTGAATACAGCTGGTAAAAGAAAAAGCGTTTGAATGCGTACATTAACAGGTTTATGATATCACTGCCCCGTCCAAGACACGAGTGGATCTGACTTTAATTACATTTGACTCGAGTGTTTCGTCAACTTAATGTGTTGCTTAAAATAATACTTCTGCATACAGTATGTGACACTGTGAGTGTTGCACGGCCAGATACGGCTCAAGAAGCTGACTCAAATAAGGAAATATATGATACATTATGATGTGATATGATATGAATGATAATGGGACACATCGACGTCTGCACTCACAGTGCCGCGGACTGTACTTAATGTTACTCTGATCAGGTTACTTATGTTGTGGCAGATATTTAAGTAAGCTTTCTTAACGCTAATATTATAATAGTCAGATTGCTCTGAAGATGGGAGGGGATATTCTATTAATTTTCACGTTCACACAGTCAGTTGATTTTTGCCGGCCGTCTTTCCTGCAACGGCAGTTTTTCTGTATTTCCTCTATCCTGTAATATGACTTGATAGCTTTAAACTCCGCACACGGAGCTCTGATTGGTCAGCAGGCGGCGCTTTCACTGAGTTGATCTCTTAGCCTGCAACCTAACCTGCTCCGGAGGAGGTTAGCCGCTCAGCATAAGTTACCATGGAGATCTAGCCCGCTAAAAAGAGAACCAGCGTCGTAGGACCGGAAAGCCCGAGTTTTCCCTGAAGTCAGCCGGCTAAGAGAAAATCCGGCTTCGTAGTACAGGCCTCTGGTCCTTTCATCAGACGGGAAGCGAAAGAACGAGCAAGACCCTTTGCTGGTATGATTACAACCTGGTACTAAGTACACAGGCATCTTGTTAAAGTTATCTTATCTTAGCTATCTCTTATATTTAGTGGAGGAAAACAAATATGACATCACTCTGGGATTTGTAGTCTTTCTAGTTGCGTATTTTTCATAGTCTTATATTTCAACAGTTTTACGACAAACTCTGTATTTCTTTACATGGAAATTATTTTTTAAGATTGACAAACATCATATGTGTAATTCATGGCACAATTCAAACGGGATCGAAAGATACGTTTTCTCTTCCCATTGACTTCAATACATAATTTTTTCGAAATAAGGTCCCATGGGTCGGAAGTAGATATCTCAGTAGGTGAATGCTCGCATAGCATGATTGAGGGAAGTACCCATAGAGTCCAGTAGAGGGCGGAGCCTGTGTAAGATATAACTGTTCCTGAGTCTGGTGGTTTTAGTCCTGATGCTGCGGTACCGCCTGCCAGACGGCAGCAGACAGAACAGTATCAGAAAAGGCAGCTTTAACCAGATAATGCCAATATTTGTACTCTCTGTGGGCTGATTTAGATTAATTTAGGTCGATTTGGAAGATTTAAGGTACTCTGGATCATTTGGATTGGACAGATTGTTTATTTGATAAAGAATTGTCCACAGTAATAACTTCATCTTGTGCTCTCTATATACAATGGTCGCAACGCAAGTCTACTCAAAGAAGTCAAAATCAGCCCAGAGAGATATTGCCACTTTCTGCTTAAAACTGCCCTTTTTGACTGGAAAATCCTCAGAAATGGTTTCAGCAGCCACAATACCCACAAAACCACTCCAAAACGCTCCAAATCGAAAATCCACATATAGGCCATTATGGTAATAATTGGTAATTGACGCAACTTATGCTAATTGCTCAACATATGCAGTTTAGCATGCAGCAGTTTCTATTTGCTGGGGACCCTACTATACATCTCTAACATAAAATGTTGGGGTACTCCACATTTCCGGGTTCACTATGCTGTAACTAGACTATAAGGTGTGGGAAATGATTCATGACACGTGTGTTTAATATTTATATTTTTACTTTTATATCTCTTCTATATAGAACATGGTGCATGTATTTTAATATTTACGTCAGCATAAAAATCCTGTAGCTTTAAATATTTGTTGAAACTATCAGATACAAAACATACAATGTGTAATATAACAAACATAAAATGGTTGATAAAAACATATGATATCCTATGTCATATGACAGTATTTGACTTTTTGAGCATGTGTGTGTGTTTCCTTGACTCGTCCTTCCTCCTCCGGCTGCTGTGGCTCTGCTGCAGCCAGTACGTCCTCCTGGCCTGGACACGCTCCTGCTCCAGGACCTCGGTGTCGTCCAGGACCTCCAGGCCGGGCAGCTGACTGATCACATACTGCCTGAGGGAGGAGGAGACAACAGGGGGGTGAATGTCTGCTATTTAGGTCAATCACAAGTTTAAAAATGAGCTCAGATTACAACACACGCGCTTGACAGATAAAGAGTAGCACGTTCTGCTGCTACGGTTGTGATGTGATTACACTGTAACATTATCCCTGGAGAGATTGAGGGATGATGTGTTTAAAAACCTATAATGTATTATTAGTGTGCACATGTCCATTACTTTATTAAATTAGAGTGGACATTATACATTTTGAAATTGAAGATGACAGTGGCTAGTGCTGATGAACTGTTAACTTTAAGAACTGGTTAAAGGACTTCATACCCCATTCACACCAACGGTGTTTCGGGGCCGGTTCGGAGCTGGAGCTTGAAAAGCACCGGGTTTTCCTGTTCACACCGCAGCGGAGCAGCCTCTAAGCTCCGGAATCCGGTTCGTTTCGAGCACCAAAAAGTTGTCCGTCTAGAAGCAAGAACCGCATACGTCACGCTTACGTCGGAGGGGGGGCGAGATTAACCTGAGATAACAGTTAAGGCGAGTACGGCAAATAAAAGTTGTAACCAGCAGTAGTGCTGAGCAAAGTGACTAGAATGCAACCACACACTTGTAAAAAAAAAACACGCTTTATGAAGTCAGGCAACACTAACCAGGCTTCGTGTGATTCTGTTTATTTGTACCTTACTTTGACCATCCGTTCGCTGTTATTGATCATTGTGGAGAGCAGGCAGACGTTTTGTTTGTTATTATACCAGCTATCGGATGGAATCAATACATGGGCTGCACAGGTTGTCATGTCCGACTATCACAAGTAGAATCATAATGAAAAATACGCCGGTAAAAAGTGCCTGTAGAAAACGGCTTAGCAAGTAGTCAGTTTAGCTTCGGTTGCTATGCTAACATCACCCATGTTATACCAGAGAAACTTTCATAACAGCGTTGTGATGCCAAACAGCGTCAATTCAGACTGACACCAAACAGCGTCAATTCAGACTGACACACATTCACTTAAGGGGAACTGGGGATATGTATCAGCTGCTTGTGTGACAGTCAGACAGTGAATACTTTAGAGCCGTGTGAGCTAACCCGGAGCTAACGGGAGAATACACTCCCGTTGAAGAGCAGCCGGCCAGCACTGCAGCGGTCGGTAAATGCCGCTGAAACACATTAATAAACAATGAACCACGGCACTCTGGAAAAAAGTATAAGGTTGGAGAAGTCGTTATTTAATTTAATCTGGCTTCGTATGATTAAAAGCAACACGATCATCGACCCGACGCAGTCCCCGGCCCGTTGTTGTTGTGAGGTGAGCTCCGTTGGGGAGAAACTCAGCGACGTAAACTGTGACGTCATGACGCAGCAGCGGCAGCACCAGTCGGGCTCTGAGCGGTGTGAAAAGAGCCGGCGCTAAACCGAAGAACCGGTTCTGAACCAGAAAAGCTCTAGCACGGAGCTAGAAGGGGAAAAGCCTTGGTGTGAAAGGGGTATAGACATGTCAGTGAGAGGGCTGTAAACGTCTTCAGTCCTCTCAGACCTGATTTATGGACCCTGCGACTGAAAGGCCCATTTAGAAAATAGTCATTCTAAATCACGGTGTCAGCCCCTCTACATTTCAGACATGATATTGATGGATTGTTGTTGCCCTGAGGAATTTTCTTCACAGTGTTATGTTCCCCTCTGTTGGATCAATTTGTTGGTTTAATATATCTTGAACTGTATATGTTACAGTATGTTGAAAGGGGGACACTATGGGAGATTGGGACTTTCTATAACTTGATTTCTTATGAACATATAAAAATACACATTTAGGAACTTATTTACACACTGTCTATTTGCGTCTGCACGATGTTGCTACATTTGGCGAACGTTAGCATTGGAGCACATTTCATTACATTCCAGAAAACGTTCAAACTAAATAATGATTTCTTATTTATTTTCTCATTCTAAGTGTTCAAAGTTATCTGATGAGATTTATCAATGTGTTGCAAAATGTGTAGAATTTTAAAGTACATATATTTAAAAGCTATATTGTAAAAATGAGTTTAATGTAAGAATAATCAACTGGTGCAGATTCATTGTGATATCTATCAGCGTAAAGAGTTTCCGTATTCACCTGAAGCTCAGCCTGTATTATACTCATGTTGTGCTGTAGTCTTATATCTTATATTTGGCTTAAGTTGCAAATAAAACAACAGACTAAATGTCCAAGTTGATATCAGCTAGATATCTTTTCTTAGACTCCTCTAGCACACTTTTAACAAAACACACATCTCTCTCACTGATGAACCACATGGGGGCGCTATAGTACATGTTGGCATGTGACACTTTGAAATGCTTTCTGCAGCAGTGCTCTATGTTTGATGGATCTTTTAAAATTAACATGTTCACTGGAGTTGTCTTCCAGCTCCAGAGAAACATCTGTACAGGGCTGGAAGAAGTACTTCAGATCCTTTACTTGAGTAAAAGTACAAATACCATGGTCTTAAAATACTCCACTACAAGTAAAAGTCAACATTTGAGACTTCAAAATGTAACTTCACATCAAAATATATTTAAAGTACTCATCCTGTTTTAATTCATGTAAGATCATTTCAGTATTGTCGTTTGTAAATGTGGACCAAATGTAGAAAATACTGTGTAGATTAGTACTACAGTACTGCATTATACCACATCAGCATTTCATGTGTTTTTATATGTACAAAGTTACCAGTAAAAAGTATGATATTCACCTCTGGAAAGAAGTGGAGTGGAAGTATAAAGTAGCATTACATGGATATACTCAAGTATATACAAATAGGTCAAAAATAGTAATTAGATACAATACTTGAGTACTGTAAATGTACGTCATTACTTTCAACCACTGCATCAGTTTTTTGGTTCTTTAAAAACCTCATGTTGGATTAGATTGCATATTAGCAGGGTTATTACTCAGGAATTTAGAAACGAAAAGGTCATAAGTCCCCCCCTGAAAACTTCTCTCAAATGAGTATCACACTGCTTAGGTCTTAAGTTGGTTAATACATTTCCTAAAGAGACATAGGCTTCCAAAGAGAAGGGCTCTCTCCACGTGCCTGATCTGGAGGAGAAACCCTGTCTTTAATTTTCCTATTAAAATTTTAAAAAGGAAGATTAGCCAATAAAACATACGTCCAAGCTGCTATAAAACCTGATTCCCGGAGTTTACATGGGTAATTATTGCAAAGAGGCTCCAAAGTCAGATGAAAACCATGGAGATTATTATACAAAAAGAATACAGCATATAGAGGGATTCTTCATTTTGGTTATGTATTTGTTTTTAGCTGGTAGTAAAAAGCAGTAGTGTAATGTAACAAAGAACATTAACTCAAGTTATGTACTCTAGTACATTTATGAGGTACTTGTACTGTACTTGCTACTTTTTACTCCACTACACTTTTTTAACAAGATTGGTTACTTTTTTCAGGTTCATACTATTAATAAAAACATAAAATCAGCTAATACATTATACTCCATATTATTGATGGAGGTACCTGGCAGTATACAAATAATTAAAATTATTTATCCTTAACCAGCTGCTAAATAAAAATTAACACATAAATGCATCACTAATTATAATCCAGTAATATCATGTGTACAGCCTGTCCTCCTACAAAATACGACCAAATAGGTCGATTGTTCAGCAGTTTATTACAACCCATAGTCACGTTTTAAAGTGTAGCACCTCTAGTGGTCGTGTAAGAAACAACATGCTCCCATTGATTGCAAACGCTCCAGAGGGTCGTTTATTCACAAATAACCCTCTCTGGAAAGTCCTAAATTGTGGAATAGTTTGGCCATTAAAATGCTTTTTGATTAGATTTCTAGCGAGAAGTGTATATTGTACTTTTAGAATCCACGTCCAGTGGATGTGTAGGATCTATAGTTTGATAGATATTACGAAGATGATTTGAGGTCTCGCCAGGAGAACGTGTACTACGTCTTTACGCAGCATCCATGTAAAGTCGGCGTCAACCCTCACGGGGTGAAACAGTATTTCTGGTCTCGAAGTTTTCATAATAAAACCGGATGTATTCCCATCACTGTCAAATGATTACACAGTGATATCTGCAGTACTCATCCACTAAAAAACATCAGTTTATCCTTGTTAATTACACAATATTGATTGGTTTAAATTGTGTACAATGCTTTTGTGTTTTTAACCTTCGATTCGGAGAAACAAATCGTTTTTTCGGAGTTTAGACACTACAGAGTTTCCGAAGACACTACACTACCCAGAATCCTCAGCTATCGTTTGGGACTACAACATCCACTTTCCTTTACAAACCCCGTGATTAGTCCTCAAGCTCTGTGATTGGATGTTGGAGTGGCAGTGCGACAAGGTTACGCCGAGCGTCAAACAGCTCTTTGAAATGGAATGGAACCACGGCAGACTATCCAAAACTGGACTCGAACGGGTCCAGCCCAGCTGTGAAACCGCTCAATGAACTACATCTCCCGTCTCGCACCACACACCAAGACGGCCGTCCCATTAGCACATTTCACTTCTTTCTTTCAGAATGAGGCGAAAAGTATTAAACGAGGTGAAAATCAAGTCTGGGCATGTTGAGAGCTGTACATACACACAAGGGGGAGTTAGTCGGTTCCGTAAGAGCCAGCATGCGGGACCAGGGTTCTGGGATTTGTAGTCTTTCTAGTTGCGTATTTTTCATAGTCTTATATTTCAACAGTTTTACGACAAACTGTGACTTTTTTTACATGGAAATTATTTTTTAAGATTGACAAACATCATATGTGTAATTCGTGGCACAATTCAAACAGGATCGAAAGATAATTTTTCTCCCCCCATTGTCTTCAATACATAATCTTTCCGAAATAAGGTCCCATGGGTCGGAAGTAGATGGGCGGGACTTCGCCTCTCTATTGTGTTTCGCAACTTGTTCTATGGCACGTCTCTACTGAGAATTGTAGTTTTAAAAGACGTTTTCGTATTTCCCATAATTAGAAGTTGCCAGTATTAAACTG